CTATTTCAATGTTTCCATGAAAACCATGATAAAGATTAAGGTGAAAAAAGATTCATTTCCTTGACATTAACTAACATATTCAACTTACTTGATTGAGGTTTGATCATTTTACTGATATTGACCGTTGGTCAAAACTATTAATATTTTGTTATATTTTTACTGAAAAATCAATCGGAAGTTTAAGAAATGAAGATGAGGGCAATGATGATGATATTTGATCAGGGAGAGAGAGAGAGAGAGAGAGTCAGTGAGAAAGTAATTTAATAGCTCTCTGTAGATTCAATGTCCAGTGATGAATGATGATGATGGTCAAACATTTAACACATGAAAGTGATGACAAGTGAACCAATATTGAATTGTGAACATCCCAAGTCATGTTATCATCATTTTTCATCCAACTATTATTATTATTACAAACATGAGAAGGGAAAAGGGGGAAGGGTAAATAGATGATGAAAAGTTCTGACACAAATTCAGTTAATTTCATTGAATAATATAAATCGTAACTATAGTTACCTTAAGTTCAGATTACAGGATTGATTATCTGACCAACATAATATTTATACATAATGATAATGATCATTTTGAATAATAATAAATTCAATCAAATTTGATTTCAAGTTAATCAATTTAACTAATTGCCATCATTATCACTTTAATCATTTGATTATGATTTACATGATGGTTTGGGAAAAAAAGTTCTGCATTTGGATTTGAGATCATCCAGTTAATTCAATTAATGGATCTCAGGTTAAATTAATCATCAACATTTTATCATTGTTTCATCAAAAAGTCATCAAAGTTTATTTTTCTTCATCATCTTTTAGTTGCCCTCAGGGGATTTTGATTGAAAAAATCATTTCTTACTTGAATCTTTGATTACTAATATCAGCCAATTGATAGTAATTCATTTGATTCTTGAATAATTTCTCGATAATTAGGTTAATCATATGAAACCACAACAATTTGATTTCCACTATCCAATGATTAGCAAATTGTTATCATTAATTTTCACTCATCTTATTGCTTTGGGTTGGGTGAGTTGAAGTTATTTTATTTTTCTGATTTTCAAATCATCATGATCATAATTGTAACGATTATGATAACTTATGATTAATCAGATTAAATTAATTGAAATGGTGAAGTGATTAAATTATATTCAACCTCTGATGATTTAGTATGTGTATTGGTGAGGATCATGTTAATCATGTTAATTGTTAGAACCATTAAAGTTAATCATCAAAGGAATCAAATTGATGAAATAAAAGTGAGAAAAAAAACAAAAAATCATTTGAAAAGGTAAGAAAATCAATGTAATGTGATGATGAAGATAATCCTGATCAAAATTCAGTTCTATCGATATAATAATAAGAAAAATGAATCATTAACAGTCTAAGGATTTAATTTAGTTCCATGAGTTTCATCATGAAAGATGAGAAAAGTTTTGAAAAAAAGTTTCACTTATAATGAAAACTCAATGAAACAAAAAGATAAAACCAGGAAATGGTTAGATTATCATCTTTAAGACTTTCAATGTGAAAAAAATGATGATGATGACAGAGGAGACAAAGAGTGAGTGAGAGAGGGAGAGAGAGACGAGAGGGTGAGCACAAGATGGTGATATGGATGATAAAGTGGAAATGAAAATAAAACAAAAAGAAAAGTAAAACTGATTATTATCATTATCTTCATCACTATTATCGGTTTCATGATAATCATGATCATCATGGAAACAAATCAAATCAACTGAAATCCTTTGGGTAATAGTTGATAATTTCCGGCCCTATAACCATTTGACTTGTCATCTTCATCCTCATCCTCATCTCTATCATCATTTTCATCTTTTTCTTTATGGTTTTTCAAAGACTCCACAAAATCGGCTTACCTTGATTTTTTACTCCGATCTTATCTTCATCGTCATTATCTTCATCCTCTTCATATCTTCATCAATATCTCTCTCTCTCTCCATCTTTAATCTTCATCCTGAGTCTTATGAGCTTGGTTACAATCTTTGAATTTTAAACTCACGAAATTGTGTGACAATTGTCAATCTCACTTTCATTTATCAAATATTTTCTTTCCATTTCCTTATCCCCTGTTAACCATTAAATTTGATAAAATATCAGATAAAAATCATAATAATATATTTTTTATCATCTTTATCATGTTCAGATTCAAAGTTGAGTTAAAGCTAAGCTCAAACTGAGATACTTAGCTACATAATATCACCAATGGAAACCCTGTAATCTGAACATTTCTCAATCGATTTATTCACCAAAGGATTTAAATCAATTTCCATTGTTTCCTACTCTTTATTACTTATGATAAACAACCAAATAGCTTCGGGTGTTAATTGAATCTAATTCAATTAAGAATTGATTGTTCACCGATCAATTTCACTTTTATCGATTTGATTGACTAGAATTTGCAATCATACGGAACAATTAGAGAATCAAATTCTATCAAAGTCTTTATAACAATTAACAGTCAATAACTGATTAATATGATTACCGTTAATTTGGCAAAAGATTCATGATTGATTTAATTGCTAATCACAAAATCTGATTGTACATAAATTAAACTGATCATTTGAAAGACAATTAATCTAAAGTGATGATGAAAAAAAAGAGGACCAATATATCAAAATAATCAGCTAATCAAGTTGAAATCAACTGAATTAAATCAAACTAATCGCAACCTACAAGACGATTGTCATGATAATTGGAGAATCAATTGATCATCATGTAAATTAGGTTGATAATTAAATCAAATGAAATCAAATTGTCAGCCAAGAATTGAGAATCAACAAAAACACAATCAGAACAAACAAAATTAATCTCGATTTTAAGGTGAACCAATTTTTTTTTCTTCCATCACAAACTTGATAATGTTGTCAAATTAACTGCAAGTACCATCGATTATAATGATAATCAACATTTGCAAATTGATTATCTATCCAACAATTTAGCTTATCAACTGATAACACCAACCAACAATCAACAACAATTTACCTACTTTACATTTCATCGGTCAGTCATGTATTGGTGATACGCCTTGAGAGCAACTCTCCTCCATAAAACCACAACCACTGACCCCACCTTATTAATATCAGCTAAATTATCATCATCATCATCATCACCATCATCAACATCATCATCGTCGTCGTAATTTTCATCATTATCAAATTTGTAATCGATTTACAATCACTACTTTTGAGGCTCGAAAACAAAATCTAAATCAAATTAAGGTAAGAAAATGATTCCAACTGAATTGCTAATCAACTGATTGACAGTAACACTTTTAACTAAATGAGATTCAGAACAACAAAAAACAGGGTGAAAATTAAGTTAATTGGACTAGTGAATATGATTACAAGCAAATTAAAGGTGATTAAATTTTACCTTTTCTCATGATTATTATGATTGCAATTTATAAATTAGTGTGAGATGATTGTTATTATCAATTGACACGCAATCAGATTGCAATTAATGATTGTTGTTGTTGTTGATATTGTGAGAAGGTGATTTTAATTATTGTTGATGATCAGGTCAACAACTACAATTATTATTAGTGTTACAGTTATTTGGATTGTCAAACAATCAAAAATTGATTACAATTTAATAATAATACAGTTATTAGTTTAATCCACACCTTGAAATTTTCAAGGGACAACAATTTAGTTTCTGATTGTACACTAAGTTTTTACATTGTAATCAATTATCGAGCAAGTTAATTGTTCATATTGTGAAAATTAATCAACTTTTCTTATTGTTGCTTCAAGCTAAATTGTCAACCATTTTGATATTGACATAATTAAACTAATTATAAACCTTGAAATTTTTATGATTAACAATTAACATAACAAAAAGTTTATTTTTAATTCATTTTGACAACAGTTGAATTTGTAACAATTAAAGATTCAGGAAGTTGTAGTTAAGGAGTGTTAACAAACAATTAACATAAGAAATCAAGTTCTCAGTGATTAGATTAAATTCATTTACAGTTAATCAACAATTAACTCACCATCTTGTGATCATCATTGAATCTCAAAGGTGAAAGAATAAAAATAAACTCGAATTTTTTTTCTCTTTCACTATCAAATGTATTTCGAGGATTTCGAACTGTTCAAAATCGAAGTGAAAAAACAAAAAGAGAGAAGAAAAAAATTCTTCAACAGGTAAGTTGAATGTTCTGAACACTTGATGAATCTTAGATATTATTGGAAAATTGAATTTCCATCTTCATGAAAATAAAAATACTCAAAAGGATTTGATATTTTCCACTGTCACCTTATCCCTCCCACTCTCCATCTCCATCTTCATCTTCATCCTCATCTCTTTACTTTTTTCTTTCTTTTCTTACCTTTCAAGAACATCTTCAAGTGACATTATCATTTCTCATTTCAATTGATCACTTGGATGAAAAAAAACATCAACAAGACGATCACCATGATGATGAACAATCAACAATAACAATCATCACACTTGATATTGTTTGCATTTGTTTTTTTACGTGACAAGAGTAATATCATAATTCACATTCACAATTATACTTAATACACATTTACATGATAATCTTTATCCACTCAAGATGGTTCATAACAATTCTGGGTTACATGGTAAAAGCTTTTCATCTGTCATCATCATCACCATGAAGAGATGGATCATCATCATGAAGATCATCATCCTCATCACCAACAACAATAAACAACAATAAAGTGAAACAAACGATTCAACTGCTAATCAACGTTCATTCAATTATCCATGTTAATCCGATGGATCCATTTTCTTAATCCTCATAAATTCATGAGGAAATTTCAAAAAATTTGTAATCCACAATAAGAATAAAGTAAAATTCAATTGCTCTTCACTCACTATAACCCAACAATTAGATTATTTTTCATTTATTGGTTGATCATGAGGATCAAACTTACCTTTGAGTTTACTCATTTGGGATGACCAATGGTCAAGGTGAGAAAGTCTTGCTCTCAATGACAGCAATTGAAAATTTTGACGTAGATTTTATTGAACAATATAGTAACTATGTATAGTTACCTGTAATTCAGATTACAGGATTGATTATCTGATCAACATATTCAGATGATGATATTTTTTTGGATTATAATACAAAGTTTGATGCCAAGTTAATCAATTTAACTAATTGCTATCATTATCACTTTAATCATGATATGATTTACATGATGGTTTGGGAAAAAAGTTTGGGATTTAAAAGGTTGATTTAATATTTATATATACACACATCTCAGGTGAAATTAATCATCATCATTATCATTGTTTCATCAGAAAAAGTCATCAAAGTTCATTTTTTATCGTCCTCTTATTTTTCCTCAGGGTGTTTTGCTTCCCTGATCATTTCTTTCAATTTCTGATCACAACAATTACAACCAATTGGTAGTAATTAATTTGATTATTTAATTTGAGAGATTTAAATTCAGTTTCATCATAAAAAACTAAACATGTGATAACTTTTCAAGAAGAAGAAAAAAAGTTCCAACAATAATCAAAGATGAAACAAAAAGATAAAACCAAGGGAGCGGCTTTGATTTACATCTTCAACATTTCTCAATGGTGATGACAGAGGATGAAGATGGAGAGAATCCTTTGACCTTTTCCTTTTCTCGAATTTTTTTATATATCCTTTGGTCTTAATCGTTTCGTTTTCTCGCAATTTGTACACAAAAAAAACGGTTAATCTCATCATCTCTCTAAACATATGATAATGATGGCGGAGGAAACTTCTGAGAGATGCAACCATAAAAACTCATTCCGTTACTAGTAAAAGTGGTTAATCCATTGGTGAATGTATTTGAGCCATTGGTGTATTGATTGGAACCATTAGACATAATATTTGACCCATTGGACAATATATTAGATCCATTTGAATAAGTATTTGACCCAACTGAGTATGTGTTTGACCCATTGGACAAAATGTTTGACCCATTGGATAATATGTTTGCACCGTTGGTCAGTGTATTTGAACCAGTGATCAATGTTGGCGAATCGTTGGCCATCATCATGGTTTTACTTGGATTAATTAATGATGATGCTGCCGATTTTGTGGATATACAACCTGAAAAACTGATTCCATTGCTAGTCAGCGTATTTGAATCGTTGGTTTTATTTGAATTTGTTAATGAAGGAGCTTCATTAGAATTGGAAGTGTCTTTTTTCACGTCACTCAGGTAATCATCATTATCCAATGATTTACGTTTCATACAGAGTATTACAATTATGGTCACCGAAACAACAGCAACAATGGAACCAATAATTGTTGCAATAATTATTAACATGGGAAAACTCTCTGTGATAATTGAGATAAAAAAAGATGATGTATTATTATCATGATGATTGATCTTTTTTGTTTAGAATTGAAAGTTTTAAAGAGATGAAGCAAAAAATTGATGAATGATTTGCGATTCATTAACAAATGGAAATCATCATCACAAGCATCTCTCTCTCTCTCTCTCCCTCAAAACAATGGATAAACTGATGAAGTAACTCACTTTGCTTTGTTAACGTGATCGTCCTGAAATCTTGTCCCAAATCATTAACAACTGAGCAACTGTATTTACCAAAGTATTCATCTGAGCGTTTATGAATTAACAATATATTTCTTGTGATCGATTCTGAAGGCTTTTTATCCTCGATCACTTCAATACCTTGACCATTATCTAAATCAATAACCTGTGAATTATGTTTCCATATAACTTGATTTTGTGATGGCACGGAGTGTACAATGCATTCAACTTTAACAGGTTCATCATCAACAATATATTGTATTGATGGGCTAATAATCTTAGGTGGACCTGTAATAGGGAGGAGAGAGAAAAAAGAATTAGTGATTTTGATTTATTGGTTATTCAGGATTTTCTTCAAATGATAATGATGACTTTGAGTTGCAGGAATATGTTGGTGGTGATGACCAGGCCCATCATCATCATTATCAAGAAAAATTAAAAAGATAATGATGATTAAATTGAAGAAAGAGATAAGCAAGTTGAATTAAGAAAATCAATCAATTCTTTGCTGGTGACAAACTTGCCAGGCAATAAATTGTTATAATCATATCTCCAATCATCCCAATTGAAAAGTTATCAAAGATACTATCATCATTTTCTGAATTAACCAAAATATCATCATAACCATCATCATCATCATGGTCTTTAACAGTAACAACAAGAAAAACTTTTCATTGGATAATATAATCTGGTCAACAAACCAACAAATAATAATCATTAAACAGCAAACACAATCATTAAAGTGAATAACTTTTTTTCTGATATAAATATTAACAGTTAGAAGATAATTTAACAATCAAAGTGATTGTCATTAAAACTCTGATTCTTTGTTGAAACTTGTTGCTTAAAACCCGGAAAAAAGACAATCATCATAATCATTATCAACGAATTTTCATTTAAACGACAATCTCTCTCTCTCTCTCTCTCTCTCTCTCTCACTGTTTAAAGCTTTCTCATTCTACTTGTTTATCATCATCACTTTGCATCAATTTTATGGTTTTCTAAGTTGTTTAAACATAGAATCGCCACTCACCCCACCCCACCCTTCTCGTAAATGCTTCTGTTACAGTTACAATAATTTCCATTCCTCTCATCTTAGCTTAACAATAACATCGCTTTCATCGCGTTGCCTAATTAAAGAATCACAGTTTGAGAGAGTTTTAAGTTTGTTTGTTTACTTGTCTATTCGTTAAGGCTAATAAACCATCAACGATCGTAAGATAATTTCAATAAGCAAGAAAATAGAAGTTGTTTCAAAAATTGTAACGTGGTTATTTTGACAACACGAGAGATTGAGATGCAAAAGCAACAGTAACAAGTAGCAAAGTAACAGTAGCAAGAAAAACAAGACTCTGATGTGTTGCTGTTAATGATGATTATGTTGAGGTCAGAAATGATGAAAGAAGGTGAAGGAAACTTAACTAACTCATGAATTAAAAAGAAAGAGACGGAAAATGATAAAAAAATGGATGCTGATGATGATGATGGAAGACTAAGAGTAATATACGAAAGACCGACAAGAAAAAAAATGATGACTTTTTAAGAAAAGAACCGGAAAGTTGTATCAACATAAACATCATAATTGAGAGTTGTTGTTGGCCTTTTTGCCTCAACTCGACTCGAGTTGATGGTTTTTGGGTGAGTTGATTAAAAATAGAAGAAAAAATTATTTTAGCAAAGCAGTTATACAATAATATCATTATGATGATGATGATGATTGCAAGAAAATAGGAGTAAGAAAAAGCTTATATATTCATCATCATCATTATCATCATATTTTGATGGTTTGCAACAGTAAAAGTTACTGATGATGATTTAGACTTGATACATAAAACTTTTGATGGAAACTTCTCTTACCTTTAATAAAAACGTGGGTTGAAAATGAAACTTCGGGAAATCCTTGAACCGATGCTCGGCAAACATAGCGACCTGATTTATCCTCACTCATGGAAGGTATTACAAGCTCTTTATTGGTACTAAGAACTTTAGTTGATCCATTGTAAAGCCAAGCTATTTCGGGTTTAGGATTACCGGAGGGATCACATTTTAGCCTAACGATTTCACCAGCGTTTACTCCTAAAACCTCTTCACTTTTCGATGTTAAGAAAACGGGACCGTAATGAATATCTAGTGTATAAGTTTCTTTAGAAGTGCCCACTGAGTTGGTCACTTCACATGTAACCGGAGAGCCGTTCATTTCTCGGGTTACCCGAGGTATAACCAGATTAGTTGTATAATCGCCCATTACAAGTTCACCATTACGGTACCATTTATATGCTACCTCAGTAGGATTAGCAAATGCTTTACATGATAACTTAATATCTTCACCCTCCATGTAAGATGATTTATCTGATGTTAAATGAATTTCCGGTTTATATTTAACCTCAACCCGGATATGAGCTTTTTGTGGCTGCTGTAAGGCCGGATTCTCTGCTCGACAGGTAAATGTTTTACCATGATGTTCCCGACCAGGAATAAATGTCCACTTTAAGGCTGAATTGGCACGTTTACCATCACTTAAGAGTTGAATTTTTTGATCAATTCCAACTCTCACTGGATTACCTTCACCATCAAGCCATGTGAGCTAAAAGAGAGATTATCAAAAATAAGTTAAAGAAAACAATCAGTAAGAATATAAGTTATTCTTAATAGGAATGGATAAAAAAATGACCAATCATAAGAATAGATATTTTCTGTAAGGCTAAAAATAGATGTGAATGAAAAGTATATCACCAAGTTGAATGTGTATTTGATTAGATTAATGAAGAGGTTAATTCAATTGTATCAATGTTAACAGAATGATAGTAGCGTGAAAAAGGAATATGCAAAATTACATAGGAATAACTATCTCAGAGACATGACTTAATATATTTGCAATAATTAATCATTCGATGAAGGTAAAGAGAGAGAGAGAGAGAAACCTTTTTTCTTCATTTTCTCATCCTACTCTTCCTTTTGCATCACATATACACCATGTATCCACAATATTTGAGCAATATAAATGATACAGAGAGATAGTCAAGGGATGAGAATACAGGAAAAGGAAAAGAAGATGTGAGAAGCAAAAAAGGTCTCATCATCGGGAATGTTTATCAGAATCTTTTTTTACTATTAATACAATCAACTAACAGTAATGTTCATCATATCCTATTAGCCTATAAGGTAAACGTGAAACAATGAAGGAAGATGTGGGTGGAAAGAGGAAGAAGGAGATGAAGAAGATGGAGATGATGATGATGGTGTAAAGAGAGGGAAAATGTTTCAGCTTGAAAAGTGGATGAAAAATACCAATCATGTGAAGCTAATTAAATGGGTTTGCTCAAATAAACTTGATCACTTTTACTTGGATAAAAGTTGTTGTTGTTACTAAGAAACCAAGATAAACAGTATCACTAGGGGAGAGAGAGGGATTAGCAAGATTAAATTGTAGAGGAAAAAATGATAATAAATATAGGGATTAATTGAAATGATCAATTGATGAATATCATTAATAGTGAATTCATTCCTGAAATTGTAGCAGCCATGCAAGTGTATGAATTTCTTTCTGAAAAGTAAAATGAAATTAATATTAAAAAGAAGATTCGATTCTGTATAACAATTATCACTAATTATTCTTTTCAGTTAATAAAATAAAAAGCTCATTATTTACAATCATCAAGCTACTTGATAGCTTATCATATTCAGTGGCGAATGCATGTAAATGTAGCAACATAATAACATGTAATTGTTATTGGTCATTTCAAGCATTTGATAAGACTGATCACTAATGATGAGCCTCTAACCTTCCGAGGAAGAAGCAAAAGTGAGGAGAGAGAGAGAGGGACTCGGACAAGCAAAACTTGATGATTGTTTTTTTTGCCTACTTGCTTGTGGCCTTGTGATGATAATGATGAAAATTACCAATTGAAAACCAATGGTTAAAGATGGATGAGAATCCAATGCAAGTGAGAGAGGTAATAATGGACTGGAATTGATTCAATGATATAATTATATCTACACAACTACTACACATTTAAATAGTTTTTGGAAATTTGGATTCTCTTCCATCTTTGATTGGCCTATCTCCCTCTCTCTCTATCTCTCTCTCTCCTTTAATGTACCATTAAACCAGTCGGACAAGAATTGATCATCAAGAAAATGATGATGGAGAGAGAGAGAGGAGGTAATAAGAGAGATAGAAGGAGAAAGACAAGAAAGACAGAGAAATGAAGCAATTACTGATAGATACAAGTATAATCTTTGCTTCCTTTGACTCTTATAATTCAGTTTGATTTCAATTCCTTACGATAGCCTGAATACCCTGAGGGTATATATGATCAAAAAGTTCTCAAACAATCATCGACTTTGTAAGAAGGGAGAGATGAATAAAAAGAAAGAGCAAGTGAAAGGTAGAGGAAGAAAATGATAAGAGAGGGTAAGGAGGAAAACAGGAGAAGGACAGAAAACCAATGACTTGTAATGATGATGATCTTTTCTGATGGTGGGCAAAGAATGTGGTTCTGTCTCTTTTCCACCGACTGTGCAAAAGAAAACAATGGATTGGGTAAAAGGTGTGGTGGTTATGGTGATGGTGGTAAAAGTAGCAATGTTTAAGATTAGCATAAATAACGAGTGGGATGGTGATAATGATGCTTGTTGTGAGAATGTGATACAGTAAATGATACGCTTATGATTGATTTCTTTTTGTTTTTTTTTTCTTTCATAAGAAACAAACAAAAAAGAATATATAGAAAATTCTTACCTCGGCAGCAGGTTTACCACCATGGGACTCACAGGTTAACTCAACAGTAGTACCCGCAGTTGTCCAAAGGGGATCACTTTGGACTATTTTGGGAGGTTCGGGAGGAACAAAAACCGTTAGAGCAGCATTTCGAGAACGAATTCCGTCAACTCCTTCGGCTGCTCCTACTTGGCACTGATATACAGCGTCGTCCTCCAAGGAGACGCTTTGAATTTGTAATGAAAAATCTCCTTCTTCATCGCTACCAATCATTTGGTAACGAGAAAAACCTTCTAACTTTCTATCAGGACCCAGGCCGAAACCATCACGGGTCCATTGTAGTGGACCTACTTTGTGCAATACTCTACATGGAAGTATAACTGTTTTTCCGATTATTGCAGATTTATCAACAGGTTCGATATCGAACTTCTGAACAGCATTCCCTATAAAAATAGAAGAAAGAAAAAAAGAAACACGAAGATTAAGAGTTTGACGAAAATGAGGGATAATAATGAATAGATTATGATAATTCTGTGAATGACATAACAGAATCGAATTAGAATCAGTTACAGAATGAATATGGAGGAAGAGGAGGAACATGAAGAAAAATAAAAGTTGGATAGAGAAAGAGAGAGAGAGAGAGAGAGAGGTGAAAATCATTAATAGAAAATTGGTGATGACAGATCTTGACAGTTCTCTCGGCAGGTTAGAGACATAACGTTATTCCCTAAGACATATTACATTTACAAGGGAAAATTGAGCAAGAAAAGATATCGAGAAGGGATAAAGAATAAAACTGTTAGAAATAAATATATCCATGTAATAAGGGAAAAGGAAGAAGGTGGAAAATATTTCCAATGGTAGAGCGAAAAAGAGAGGAGAGAGAGAGAGAGTGATTCGTTAAGATAAATTCTGACAAGGTTGTCTATGAATTTGACTCACTCCTCTTTCATGAGGAAGTTCAACACATCCACAGACATTCAATATCGGTGAAATATTGGTTTTAGCAAATGGCCAGAGAGAAACTAGAGAGAGATAAGTTAGAGAATGGATTTATCATTATCAAGATTGTTGTTGACATGATTGAGTATCTCACTGAATCTCTCTCATCTATTTTTCACTGAAAAAATAGATGCATGTGTTGATGATTACGGTGATTCCATTGAGCAATCACCTCAAATCATGTAGATGTAAACACACACATATAAGTTGCAAGTGTAACAAGAGATGAGGGAGAAAAACTGTAAATGATTGTGTTAAATTAATTTGCTTGTCATGGGAATCGGAGAGAGAATGGGAGAGTATATAAGTTCCAGGGGGATAAATATGAGTTTAACATTGGCGAAGAGGAAAAGAACAAATTTTCTCTTTTACCTCTTGTTCGACTTAAACTTGAGATTCCATCTTGTTGATTAAATGGTTGATCATTGATACTACTGCTAGTTAAAGAGAATCCACCATTATTATTGCGAACTCGTTTTCTATCCGATAATCTATCGGATGTTGATGTTTCTCCAATGTTTCCAACATTGGTCAGTGATATTGAGGTAACAGGTTCATATGATGATGATAAGATTAAAGCTCCGAGTAATAAAATAATTAAATTAAAATTGTACAAAAACTTCATGGTAGCTCTGAAAAAAAGAAAGAATAAGATAAAAGAAGGTGAGAATTATTGAAATGGAAGAGAAGAAAAAGAATATCAAGTGAATAAAGAAGAGAGAATTTGAGAGAGAGAGAGAGAAACAGGTAAATATTGTGTAACAATAACATATTTTCCATCTTCTATTTATCATCATGATTAACACATAGAAAAATGGACACAACAAAAAGATGATGATGGACAATGGTCATTGTTATCAGGTGTATATAAGATTATCATTATAATGCTGATGGAAATGATTAGCACACAAAAAGGAGAGATGATCAAGAGAAATTAAATTGTCTGCATGATACAACATGTAAGTGATTATAATAATGTTATTATGGATTATCTAATGTTAACCTTCAACAGTTATTAGAGAATAAAAATTAAGATGATATATTAAGGTGAAAAAAATGTATATTTAGAATAGAATAGAAAATGAAATGAATTGAGAGAAAAGAAGATAATCAAAAATATACTTACATCTTAATTTATCCAATTTAAGTGCAATCAAGTAAACAATTACCGGTTTATCCATAATCTTGTTCAACGTTTGTTTTAACCAAATAATAATTCAAGGATCGGATTAACCTTTATCTCCATGTTGTTTACAAATCCAATTGGTGATAAATATAAATGAATTGACCCGCAGAGAGAAAGATGGAAATTTAAAGAAAATGATGAGCAACTTGAATGATGGATAAAAAGATGATGGAATCGCCAATCAAACCCAGTAAATCTTCAACAATTAACATATAACCTGAGAGAGAATAAAAAACAATAGAAAACAAGTTAATAATCATTGGAAATTATGGATTAGCAGAAGAGAGAGAAACAACAAGTTGGATTAAAAGACAAACACATAAGACACAGTGTGAGGAACATTGGATAACCATCTCAACAGTTTTTCTAAAACAAATTGCGAGATGAAAAGATTAACGTTTTTTGTAAGAAGTTGAAATGATGAAAAGTTAAAGAGGAAAAAACAAAATGAAGGATAAAGATAAAAGGTCAAGTGAGAAAAGATCGGTAACCGAAATGGATTAAAAAGCGAAAGAGAAAAAAGAAAGAGAGTAAAAGAGAATAGAATAAACTAGAAATTCTTTTCTATCATAACCGATCTTCTTACCTAAAGTGTTCACCTTCTCATCATTTTAACTTAATTATAATCAAGAGACGTTTTTATGATTAAGATTGTTAATAATCATCGAGTTAAACATTCGGTCAGTGATTCGTTTTTGAAAATGACCCATCCAAGTGAACGGGTCACCATAACAACTAAACCAAATTCCCTCTAATTTAATAAAAGTGTTTATCCCTTTGTGTTTCCATGGTAAAGGGTTAATATGATTACCACCATTTGGATTAACAATTTATTGGTGATTTTGGATTAGATTATTTAAACTTCAATGGATTTGATTGATTCTTTTTGGCAAGTGTTTTCCTCTCTCATGTTCATCTTCCAATGTGATTCAATTTTCGACTAAACTTCTTTTCCGCCATCATCTTTTCTTTCATCTCTGTGGATATTTATCTCTCCCTTTCTCTTTAGATGATCAATAATCAACATGTAAATTGGGTTATCTTTTTCTCCTCTGGTTAATTAACATTTAGGTTTGATAGTAATAGCTTCAGGCTATTCACACAAACTCACAAAGATAAAGAGAGAGTGAGAGATAACCATCATCATGGTAAAACCTTTTTACACCAACAATCAATTGGTGAAGAAATGAGTTAATGCTTTTAGATAAATGAAGATAATGATGGAAAGAGTTTTTCGCTTTAAGAATAATTAGTTAATCAGATTTTATTTTCTTTTCTCATCATCTCTATTCTTCATCAATATAATTCTACCATGATATATACAGAGAGAGAAATAGAAACTCTCTCTCTCTCTCTCTCTCTCTCTCTCTCTCTCTGAGAAATATTCATGATGACAAATTGAAGATGATGATTAGCTGCGGGTAAGTACACATATTTTAAGTTCTGATTAAAAGTCTATTCAATTGCTCTTCTTTTTTAGATATTAGATGATAATCATTTTCCATCACCATGAACCTGATTATTTCTTGGAAATAAATCAATTTGAGAGATGATGATGATGGCGAGAAGGAAAAAAATCAAAATGGCAAAACTAGAACGATACTAATGATGATGATGATCCAGTTTGACACGCCTTCGATAATCATCATTGAATCAACATGGATGAGGGTTTGATTGAAGATGATGAAGTAATCAGGATAAAGAGAGAGAGAGAGAGAGAGAGGGAGGGAGGGAGAGAGAGAAACCTGTGAATACATTGATGAGGATGATCAATACACAGGATGAGAGAGTAAAGAAGGAAAAATATCTTTGATTGGTTACCAGTAATCAGAATTATTTTCATCATCGTTGATCTTGAGTTCTTGGTGAATCTTTCATCGTCATTAACATTATCAGTTATAAGTTAATCCAACCGGATATCCCGAGGATAATCAAGATTAAATCATATGTAATGAAAGGTAGAGAGAAAGATCAACTCAAAGGAAACTTAAATCAGATAAAGATCATCAGGTTAACCAAATGATTAAACCTGATACTTGGTCTCACAATATTCATGATATAATTTAGAAGAAAATTTTTAGGTTTGGGTTTTCTCTTTCTCTCTCTCCCTCTCTCAATTATCCCAGTCCAAGAAGATGAAGATGCTCAAGATGACGACCAAGTGATAAGGTTGATGGTCAAATGGAAAATGAGACCAATTAAGATCATTAATTTAACTTAATTTCCATTCGACAATCAATGCTTTTCGCTAATCACCATATTCTCAGAACATAATTAGCGTCTTCATGTTTCCTTGTTCTCTTTCTCTCTCATCTGTTGATCAAAGATTATTTCCCATGATATAAATACAACATCATCATGATAATCATTCCATCAATGAGGTTGAAACGATAATCCAAAATCAAATCGTAATCATTAACATTTGATATTCGTTTTGATTACAAATCTTCATTTCCAATTCTTCAATCATTCAATATCCTCATTAACTTGTAATCAATTGGTGATGGTAAACAGATCAAACAAAACACATGAATCTAAATGGTAAAGATGAAGGATAATCAACGATAATCATCATCTTCATCATCATCAACTGGACCAACAACAAGAATTAAATTGTTAACCCATAATAAGAAAAGCCGTTAATCAGACTAATCAATGGAAATGGTGAAATAACGGTAATATGAAAATGAAGAGAAGGAAATTATTATCAAAGTAAATAAAAGATAATCATTAGTCGGTTGGAAGAAGATGACAGAATATCATCTTGTTCCATATTCTTTTCCAGGATGGATGAAGATCCATAAAAAAGTTCTCATAATGGAATAAGAAAGGGATGATTAAAGGAACATGAGGTGTTGATGATAGCGAAAAATATTCCAAGCGAATCTTCTTATGAGCCATTTCATTTTCCACTTTTTTATCCACAACAAAGATGACACAATGAGAGAGAAGGAAAGTGAGTCTTGGTGGAGAAACGAGATAAGCAACAAGGATCCACCGGTGATGAGGATGAAATGATGAACTTGGTCCAAGTAATTGTTTGCCTCATAAAGAACACGAGATAATCAAGATGGAGAAAAAAACGGAAAACTATCAACAGAATTAACGGTAAATCACCAAGGCGAGAGAAAAGTGCTAAAGATAATTACGATTAACAAGACAAATATCAACACCATTAGAATTAATTTAATTTTCTGATGACTGTTGATATACATCATCATCTTAATTATCATTATCTTCATCACTTTATTAGAATTTCTCTCTTTTCATCAATTCAAGATTCTGTTTGATCACTGAGACAGATTAAAGAGAATATTAAGATAAATTAAATTCTTTTCATTTGTGAAATAATTAACATGTAGAATTTAAAGAGAAACAATTAACAATTACAATTCTCTTTCGTTTTTTACCTTAGATTCTGATGGAAGGAGAAAATCTCATGAGAATAATTAAATTTGCAGCGTAAATTAAATCTCTAATCAACATACCTAATACATGGATAATAGATAAATTGTTGAAGATCAAATTGTTAACATAAATTAACTACCATTGAAAATTGTACTTAAATCTGTAAATCCTTTACAAACTAATCAACCGGATTAATTGTTGTGTGTGTAAGTTTGTTTATCGTTGGCTCTTGATTGACAATTAAAGCCAGAGAGATGATCATTTGATCAACTTCATTCTGGGAATTGTTAGAAGCTGTAAGTTAAATCACTTTACTCATTTCTTCATCAAACTAATTAGTTGATAATAGCTCCATTTAAAAGCATTAACAACACAATGATGATGATGATGAGGATGAGGATGAGAGAGAGATGATAATGATAATGATAATAGTTGAACAATAAAAAAGGTAAACTGATGATGGAATGAGCATTAAAACAGTTAAATGGTGAAAGAAGGTAACAATTAAAATGAACAATCAATTGAATTATTTTAGGTGAGAGTTCAATTACGATTCATATCCATCCTCACGATAATCATGATTATCATTGAGCTTTTCATGTTCGCGCTTCCAAATCTCGATTATTTTCCTGAGTAACTTGAAGTTTGTCGATTTTGTTGTAAAATGTATCGGGTCAGAAATCCATGTTATCCATTGGAGAAAGTGTGATTAACTCAGAGATGGAGAGTGTAAAAAAAGAAGGAGGAAGAGAGAGAATGATGAAGATGAACATCATCAACAGGATTACCGATTACATGAGGAATTATCATCCAAGTAAATTGTGAAGGTTTTGTTCACTCTCTCTTGTAAAATAGAAGCAAGAAAAAGATGAGGAGGATGAAGAGGAAGATGAGCCTCTCGAGAATCAATACCATCAATCAAATATCCAGATTTCAAGTTGGGATTTCAAGGGCTAGTAAACCAAATTTACGCAGCATCACTTTCACTTTTTCGTTATTTTCTCTCTTTTTTCAGTTATATTCTATTCTCTTTTAGGATTTTTCTTCCTCCACATTTTTCCAATGTTAACCTGGAACAGACTGAGAACAAGCAACAGCGAAAAAATCCTGAAGAGAAACATCAGCAAACCAATAAGAGAGAGAGAGAGAGTTTAACAAGATTTGTTGAAATCAGGAATTAGAAGATAACAGTTTTGTTATTGTTTGAATGATCATTTTCCATCGTAGTAAAAACCATCGTCTTGGTAAATATATCATGTTGTTAAAGATGAAACGATGAAACTGATGATAATGATGGTGATGGTGATGGAGAGAGAAGGATTAAAAAAACTGTTCACTTTACGCAGTTAAAGTATCATCTCTCTCACTTTTCTCTCTATCATTGGTTAGGAGAGAGGAAAAAATGTTCGCTAACCAAAAGGAAAAGCGTGAAAACCCATTGACTTAAGATTTATGGTTCTTAGGTCATTTTTCATCATCCATATTACACATATGATGAAAGAGTAAAGGAACATGATGATAATGATGATGAGAGAGAAAAAGGTGTGAGAGAAAAAGAGGAAACAGAATTGATGTTGACACAATTTGAAAGAAAATAATTTCTTTTTTCAACCTTCGATTCTAAATGACAATCATGATAATCTTTGCTTGGATTAACAGTTAGAATTTAATTGAGCTTAATAACAACAATTTAATAATTTTAGCTTTAAATCATAACTTAAATTATTTTTATTTCGTTGTGACACTAAACATAAACAAAGAGAGAGAAGAAAAAAAAAGCGCTCAATTCAAATGGAATCGTTTTCGTTTCGTTTTGTTTTTGTTTTTTTTACTTTTTCTTTTTTCGAGAAAATAATTTCAATTGTGATACAGTTAATTGTTGATTGTGACAGAATAACAATCAATCTAAATTAACATTTTCAAGGTTTGATAAACCTGGAAAATATCAAATATAATTAACTTAATTTTCTTTATCCAATGTATTAAGTGAATACATAATTTGAAACATTGTTGGTCAATTACCATTAATTTTGTCAACTGACCAGTCAACAAAAAGTAACATAAATTAACAGTTAACAATTTAAAATTTGCTTCAGTATTAGAGTAACAATTAATAATTAGTATAATATATTTGGAAAATATTTCAATGACATTTTCAATCTAATGATAATAAATTAATTCAATTCATTTGTGACCAATGTGATTTATAATCAACAGATTAATATTATTATTAGAAAGTATTAATGGTTGACCAATACACTGGACATTGAGAGACAATAATTTAACCAGAATTAACTTGATTCTCTTGCTTTAATTTTTGTTGACAATCTAAATGATAATAAGATTTAATAATAATAGTGAATGAACAGTTTGATATAATTAATCTGTTATCAGAAAGATTTTGTCAGGTAGTATTTTAATTACATTTTATAGATTGTTGTTAGTTAACAATTTAAATTAAAAAATTATCAAGTCAGTTTGTTGTTATCAAGAGTCAAGGTCAGAATCCAGGTAAGAGGAAAAAATAAAATAAATGCTAAGATGAGAAATGAGCCAAATAAATGGTTAGAACTGGAAAAAAGCATTGGCGATGTTACTTTTTTTTGCAAGAAGAAGATGAAGAAGCAGATGATGGAGAGAGAGAGAGAGAGAGAGAGATAATAAAGATGATGAAGACCAGTCTTAGATGAAGAATCTTCATCTTCTCTTCCAGGTCTTGATTCGGTTTTTGAAATAATTTTGTGCAACCCCCAATGATACAGGTAGTCAGGGTTTAGCCTTAGGCTATTTATCCCGGCAGGAATGGTCGTTAACTTTGAAGAAGAAGAAGTAAAAAGATGATGATGATAGTGGAGAGAAAAAGAAAGAGCAGAAGAAGAGAGAGAGAGAGACTGTCAGGCTTCTGAAGTAGCTTTTGATGATGATGATGATGAAGAAGAAGAGGAGGGAAAATGAGAAAAAAATGGCTTCACTATTATTCAGTTTTTTTTTCTTACTTTGAAAGCGAATTAAGAAGAAGAAGAAGAAGAAGATGATGATGATGATGATATGAAATTGATAGAGAGGAAGAAAGAGAAGATAAGATGAAAACGACTGATGGCTTAAGGGGAACATGTAATTCTTGGTTCGGTCCTAGTCTTGAAATCGTGATCTGAAAATGGTCAATAATTAGACCAGGGAGAAGATTCATCATCATCATTTCTCTCTTTCTATCTCCCTTTCTCTCTCAATTTATGATAATTTTCTTTTTCTTTTTCTCATCTTACCAAAGTGATCATACAAGTCAAGGGGAAAAATGATGAAGATAAAAAAGTCAAAGTATCGACATTATTTTTCCTCTTCTTGTTATATAATTTTTACTCTTCTTCTTTCTTATCATCCTCATCTCTCTCCAAAACAATTTACCTGAAAAACAAGTTCAAGTTTATCCCTTTTACCTCTGGAAAGGTAAAAATATCATTTGAACGACACCTTATATGATATTATATCAATTGATTGACTTAACATTTCATCTTCTCTCTCTCTCTCTTTTCTTATCTTCCTTCTCCATCATCTTAAAGTGTCTCCTTTTATTTTATCATTTTCTCTTCTATTCCCTAAGTTGATGCCATTTTCCTTCATCATCTTCTTACTTGATGATATTAAGAGTAAATGCGATTTGTTGAAAAAAAGAGATGATTGAAAATTCGATTGATGTCGAATTGGAAAAGAAAAGATATTTTCTTTCTTTCTCTTTTTGCATGATCATCTCTCTCTCTCTCTCTCTCTTTCGATTACCTTCAGGGAGAATACAATATATCTATCTGACTGTCAATGAGATGATGAAGTTAAAGGACAGAGGATGATGATTAGAAGATGAGAAGGAAGAGAAAAAAGGAAACAATGTAACAATCAGATTTATCGAAACCAGAATCAAACTGATGACATGAAACGAGAGAAAACAGTTACTTGGAATAAACTGATTGATAGATTTCAATGTTACATTAGAATTGGAGAGAGAGAGAGAGAGAGAGAGAGACAAAGAAGATGATGAGGATGATTAAGACTGATTGAGATCAACAGAGGTTAAGCTAATCTCCTATGATTAAGGTAAAAAAAGATAAACATCTTGACAATTTATCAAGACAAGAATGAAGATGATAACTGATGAGAGAGAGAAAAGATAAATCAAGGTCAAGTTGGTAAGATGATGAAGATGATAAGAGATGAGGATAAACTGGACATGGAAGATGGAGAAAGAGAGTGAAGATGAAAAGAAGAAAAAAATAGGAAGATATAAAGAAACTCCTTTAAATGAATTATCTCAACACTCTTGTGATGATTTTGATTGTGAAGATTTAGATTAAGATCAATTTTAAGTTACACATCATCTCTCCCTCTCTTTCTCTCTCATCATCATCAAAATAGGCCTTGGAAAGTTCAGGGGAAGATGATAAGGAAGATAAAGAAAGGTGAAGAAAAAAATTCTGAAGAAACAGGTTACAGGGATTTCGGGTTGAATGAATTTGTTATTGTATTAAAAGTTACAATTAACTAGAATCACATCTTTGTCTTGATCATCATTACAATCTAATCATCATCTTCTTAATTGTCAAAGTTAATTCAAATTCAATTGAATGTCTAATTAGATTAAAAGTGTGACAATTACAATTGGAGCAAAATATCAAAATTAACTAATCATTTGTAGTCGAAACTTTAATGTAACTTTAACGCTTTTTTAAATTGTTTCAACATTTGCTCAAGATTATTGTATTTATATTCAAGAGAAGCAATTAAATTAAATTGTAATCAGAATCATCTAAATCGTAAGTAAATTGTAATGATTAATTTATGAAATTTCCTCTCTAATCATGTAAATAATTATCATGAAGCCAAATGAGTTGATAGGTTAACAATTGATTAACAATTAGAATATACAATTAAGTAAATACAATGTAACCAATCAATTGATTAACTTTAGTCAAGTCAATTAATTGAAATCAACAAGTGAATCAAGATAATCATAATGAAATAGGATCAGTAGGAAATTTATCATGGACAATTTAATTAACAGTGATCAACAATTAATCAGCTACAAGTTCAAATTACATATTATAATTAATATGAGAAAATAAGAAAATGATAATAACAATTATCATCAAATGATTAGTTTATTAATCAACCTACACTTTTGAGAGTTGATAAAATTAAGGTGCGTTTGCTTCAATCGAAAGTAAATTAACTCGGATGATAATCAGTGTAAGGAAGATGAAGATGAAGATGAAGATGGGGATGGAGATTAAGATGAAGATGAAGATGAAGATGAAGATGATTGAACAACAAAGTTTGTACTCAAATTGGTACTAGAAGTGACCAGTGGACCATGAACATTGGCACCGTTCCATTGCCAATCTTTTCTGGTTCAACGCTTTTATCGTTATAATCTTCATCTTGGTCCATGAATCTCATTCTCATCTTTATCTTCATCATCTTTTACTCTCTCATTCTCACTTGAAATTATTTTCTTCAACTAAGTTAATACTTTGTGAAGGGTCAATTTGGGATTGAGATTGTTACTGTTCCTGAATTGGCACCGGCATTTGACCAGTCAGTTATTTACTTCACTTGGGAAAACAATCATGATGATAAAAGATGATCAAGAAGATAAATAGAGAAGATAAAATCTAAAAGGTAACAGTGAATTAAGATTAAATTGTGTACCATCAGGTAAACGATGGATTAAGTTGATTAAAGATTATGATTAACATTATGTTTCACGTATTACATCAAGTGAATTAAATTCAGTTACATTAATATGTATTGTAGACAATCAATCAACTATTAAATGATGATAAGAAGATGAATCATATTCTGATGGATGATGTTGGTCAGTTTTAACTTGACCAATTTGAATTTTGCTCAACTCATTTATTGAAATTTTACTTATGGTGTTACAATATGTTTACATTACCCTGGAGGAGGTGAAACTGGGACAACATTCAATTGGTCATGTTTAAGTTAACAATAATCATCAAGAGGATGAAAACCTTGAGGGGGCTTAGCAGACAGGTACAGAATCATCATCATCATCATCATCATCTTTACCTACTGAAGATGATGAGATTACCTTTACACAGTCAAGTGAACCTACGATTACATTTTAACAAACGATGAGAGTAAACAAGTGATGATGATGGAGAGAAAAAAATCTATTCTGTTGATTATGAACTTTTTTTTTGTTCTTTTCCCTTTAACCAATCAAATTTATCTCAAGCAGAGTTTCATGATGACCATGCAAAGAATCCTGATCATCATATTGATGGAAATTTTCAAATAGAAGAAAAAAAATTCTCCATAAAGTGAATAGTTTGGACATTGAATGAATCTCAGACTAACTGATCAACTGAATTAACTTTAATTGTGATCGTAATCACGACGAAACATTTATCCTCTTATCTAATCAAAAGTTATCATTTTCAATGGATCAACGTGTTTGTTATATTATCAAACTTATTGATTGTTACATTTTCTGTGTAACAATCAAATTGATCAAGATGATTGAGAATCAAAATCAGATAATTTGGTTGAGAATAACAAAAAAATTGAATACAATATAAAACTACCATTGATATGTAAGTTATCATCAATTTCAATTCCCTGAAGATATTAGATTTTTTTTCACCAATAATTTTATGTTAACATTTATTCAGTTATCATGCAACAATTTCATCCATGAGCTGATCATCAT